ATATAAGACTTAATCGACATTAATTGTTAAAGAATGTCAATATCCAGGATATACACAGGGTAGAAAAGATTTAAGAATCACTGATCTAGGTTAGTATATTTTCCTGAGAAATATTATGAATAGGTTTTGTAACCGCTGCTCTATACATGTCATAGCGTGCGTATCGGGTGAACGTTCTAAACGTGTTGTGGCGGTTCCGTTCAAGTTGAAGCCGGAAAAGTTTGTTTGGCAAAAATATATTCAGCAATAAGAATTTCATTCACATTATATTTAAACGTATAAAATACTATCATTATGTAAAACATATAGGCACTGCATGCAAATGACTCAACAATACATAGATAAACGGCGCAACAATTAACCAGATATGATTGTTATTGAATTGTTTGTATTAGTGTTCCTAATATAGTGAGCTAGTACATTTGTCTGTATTTCAAAAAATATATATGGGTATTTCCGTACATTCATGTAAAATGATTACTGCGAATTACATACAAAAATTATGTATTTATATTAGTTGTCGCTAAAAATATTAGATTGGACTTAAACATTTTTTTTCGAAAAACTAGCTTTCTAGTCAAGTTTAAATTTACTCGGTAAAAGTAAAATTTTGAAGCGACGTGTCTCAACCAGTGTTCTTTAAAAGGTTTCTCGAGCAAAGAAGTACATTTTTAACGTGTAAATGCGTCCCAACTTATTTATCGTCGTAATACATGTCAACGTCTTACTGTTATGTCCACATTACTTGTGGTAACACGAAAGTTCCTGACATAAAATCGCGTTTAAATAAAATCACAAATTCAAACCTAAATAATAAAGACATTAACATTTGGCTCTTTCACCACAGCATATGTATTTCTTTTACACAAAAGGGCCCAAGTTCACACATCTAATGTCAACTGATGATATTTGTAAAAAAGAAATGACTGTAGAAAATGGAAATAAATCGGGCACGCCATGAGAAGGTACGAGGTCAAACGTTGTAATGAAACTCCAGGGAATAAGAAAGGCTGGCCGACCTAAGCAATCCTGGAGAAGATGTGACTGCAACCGTCGGTAGCTTCAATGTTACAAAGTTTTGTAATTGTAGGTAAACCCCTAATACCACAACATGGTAGTTGATTATATATTATTATTGTATCCATCAACAAAGTTTTCCGAGTACAGTACTTTTTATTTAATATTTAGTTTGGACTAAGTAGATTTTAAAAAATCACAGTTGAATCCTTTTCAGCACAAATAAAAACCCTTAAGAAATTGACAGCGTTGCGTGTAACATGTAACAAACCTTTTTAAAAATAGATCTAGCAGGACAAAACGCAAAGGAGAACAATATTCCTGACCAGCAGTTTTTATACTCACACCAAAGATTGAAGCCATAGGGAAATTTAGCTAACTGAGATTTAGCCATTTTTACATATTTTTTGTGTGTAACCGAACAAGACTATTATTACATCTCAAATATATTAATTGACAATATACAATGTTTAATGCGTATATTATTTTAATGGATGTCACGCTGACCTGCAAGAAACAAAACACTTGCGAATTTTTAAAAATATTTAGAACTAATATTTATGAAAGTTTAAAGCTAATAATCAAGTGCTTTATCTAAAATGGCACTACAAACAGCCCCTGCAACAGTTCCACCAACAGCGCCTAGAATAGGACCAAAGAGACCACCAATTACTCAACCCGCTACAGCTCACAGCCTCCCTCCTTCAACTCGCAATGTTTTAGTATAGTCCTTTTTTCAAGTTCTTTTATGAGTCAATTTTCTGTATTTCACATTGTTCACTTTAGCTTGATTCTCTCAATGATTTATTTGTGCCTCACAAGTTTTTCTGTTCCAATGACGAGGAAACTAGGTATTACATCTAATCGATTGCGTTCAGTTTCAGCTTTGTTAAATTGTTCATTTGTGTCTCTTTGACCATTTAATAGAAGTTTATCCACAATAGTTACCTATGTCTTTTACTCACTGGTACATCACATCTGCATCTTTAATTGTATTGTATTATTCAAGACAATTATTTAACCATTGCATTTCTCTGCAATTTTCTACTGCTCTAGGTGCAAAACTCTTAAAAGTTAAGTTGTGTTTCCTCATGATCATACATTATATCTATACAAATTTTTATAGACGTGATTGTCTTAACATTACTTTTGAAATAGTAATTGTCTTTGTTTTATAAATAAAACAAGATTGGTTTTCTTCGATGTAACCACTCTCTCGCAATGTCAACTCGAAATCTACTTTACTATTTTAACCACTAACTCTCAACCATCCCATTTCCTGCTTTGTAAAAACAATCTTACATTTTTAAATGCACCTTGTCACTAATTACGTCAATGTCCCCAATGAATACAATGTTGAAGCAATATGGTAATTGGTATAAAAACGAAAAACGCACATTAAAATAAAAATTCAAATTTATTATGTTACTAGTTTTACCAGCCAGGTCCTGAACATTTGAGGTAAAACGTTATTGTAAAGGGCCTTGACTTATGGGTTCATTTAAAAATCATACATTCTGAGCTCCCCGGTGTTTGAGAAATTATTTTTAAAAATTTGAATTAAAGGTACATATGTAAATATGGATGTTTGTAAAAATATAAGCACAAACGCAAACACACAAAAAAACGCTCACGTAAATACAAACGTAAATACAAACATAATTCCAAACGCAATCATAAACGCAAACGTAACGCAAACATAAACAAAAATTGCATACATAAACACTAACGTGAACACATACTCAAACATAATCCATAAGACCTTTATATATTTGAAGCCACACAGCCAAATCAACATACAGGAAATTTTTCTAAATGTAAAAAAAAAAAGAAAAAAGAAAACAACACTCATTTTCGACTGTTCCGTCTTGGGAAAGACTATTTATTATATTACTAAGTAGTAGAGGTGTTTTTTAAATGTAAACAATTAAAAACAAAATAGTATGCTTCCTTTTTGAAAATGTAAGGAATATAATGGAAAATGAAGTAATTTAACTAACACAATTAAAAACAAAATGTAAAAATAGATTTAAAATAAACAAGCAAGAATATGCAAGGTATGATAATTTTTTTTTTTACTTTTTTTTGCATACATCAACAAAATAATGTAGAGAAAATATTAAATACACGCACATTGCTAAGACATATTAAACGGATCCATGGCAAATAATATTTTCGCTCAGATCCCTAGAAAAAAAAATGGATTCATTTTAAAAACAGTAGTGTAAAATAAAACTTATCAATTAAAATGTTTAATAATTATGCCTGGGGAGGTAATTTTTTAAGATGAAAGTCAAATCACTCTAAATATTCTATTTAAGTAATTCTTTTTTTAAAATTCTAACTGCATTTATTACGTAAGGACTCATATTTATAATAGATTAATGTTAAAATTGTTTATATTATTTTTTGATTAGTCGGTACGGAGTTTTTGTAGTGTTTTTTATTTCTCTGTGACCTATTTTAAACATTATATTTTTAATGCTGTTTTTGTTATGGGATGGTTAAATTAGAGAATGTGGGAAAGGCTCTCTCTAGGTACTGACATCAAGGAAAGCGTAATTGCAAAAGGTGTTTGCGTTTGTCTTTGAATTTGAGTTTGTGTTTGTTTGCATGTGTGTTGTTTTTTATATGTGTGTTTGCGTTTGTGTGTTGCGTTTGTGTTAGGGTTTACGTCTGTGTTTATGTTTGTGTTTGAGTTTTTATGTTTTCTTTTGTGTTTTTGTTCGTGATTGAGTTTGCGTTGTGTTTGCATTTATATTTGAGTTTGCATTTGTTGGTTGCGTTTGTGTTTTCTTTTTTGTTTGTGTTTATTATTGCGTTTGTATTTGCATGTTGCATTTGTGTTTTGTTTGTGCTTGCGTTTGTGTTAGTTTTTGTGTTCGTGTTCGTATTCGTGTTTGCGTTTGCGTTTGCGTTGGCTGTTATGTTTGTGGTTTTTGTGTGTTTGCGACTGCGTTGTGTTTGCGTTTTTCTTTGAGTTTGCGTTTGTTCTTGTTAGTGTTTTCTTTTGTGTTTGTAGTTGTGTTTGTGTTTGCTTTTGTGTTTGCGAGTTGTGTTTGCGTTGTGTTTGTGTTTGGTTTGGTTTTGTTCACAAGTTGGAACATTTAAAACAGATTCACCGTGTCGAAGCACGAGTATGCAGCTAGTATATATATGTGTGTATAGGACTATATATATATATATATATATATATATATATATATATATGAGTGTGTGTGTGTGTTTTGTTTAACATTTTTACATTATTTCTAATTTAACACAAAGATTTTAAATATAAAAATAAAACTTTAATAATTAAAAGAATTTAATAATTAAAAGAAAATGATTTTCTTCCTTTCACTAACAATGATTACTAAATTACTAAATGTCGGTGGGATATCGTGGTCGGAAATCGGAGCTGTTTGATTGGGGACGAGGGAGGAAGCAAGATTACTATCCCGAAAGTCTTCAGTTTAGATCCCGGATCCAAGTGTATTGGACGTCCAATATCCCACCCAGCTCCGATGGTTGCATAAGTTAAGGAAAGCAAAGATGGGCATAGAGGTTGTAGTGCTTTTTACACTATACCCACAAATGACTAAGTCACTGAAAGAAATAAAATCTACTTCACCTGCTCTATAGACTGCAAGGTCTAAAGCAATAACAATATACACTAAAAACGCGTGAAATAATATGTTTATATGTAGATACCAAGTAAGGCAGGATATTTTCGCTAATAGTTCGTAAAAAGCTATACTAAAACACGGATCTTGTAATAGCTGTTTACTTTATTCTCTAATCCAACAGTCTAAATGACTTTTATATTTAAGACATTCTGAAAATTTGCTTACTTGTAAAAGGATTAACATTTTTTGTACAAATATATTTACATACATATCACACTGTTTTGAAATTTCAATATTTTAACGTAAAAAAATCAACTCTTAAATTATGTATAATGTTAACATTCCATAATTAGATGGGCGGTCGAAAAATGTGTGCTAAAAAAAGCCAACAAATCTTTCCCAATAGTACTTGCATTTTAAAAGGAAAGTTACGTCGAGTTCATCTTTGATTTCCCTAAAAATTTTTTCAATTTGTTCTCTTTCTGCTGTCATTATGGTGCAAGGGTTACTTAACTGAGCTTCAATAAGCTGACGTGTTTCCATAATATTTTTATGCAACGAATCACTATTACTTGTCCTCATCCGCGCTTGCAACACATTAACTAGCTTTAAAACCTGACGAAGCGATTCTGTTTTCTTTTCGACGGATGTTATATTTTGAGCTTTTCTTACTTTTTCTAAAATCCAGCTCTGTGCATTTATAAACTCTTTTCCAATGACTGTTGTCTCAGCTCCTATCATTTTTCTGTAAGCATCATTGGCTTTTTCAAAATGTTTGTTTGTATATCGCCTTCTGTCATTGTTAAGTTCAAAAATAATTCTCAGTAATTCATCACGCTGCTTTATTTGTGTAGCTTCGTCTTTTGTGATGTTATCGAAAACAACGATTCTGTTTTGGCAATCTGTTAGTAAGTTTTTGAACCCACCTGTTTGGCTTCTACAGAAGCTGTACAGATTGAAATCCCGATCATTTAAACATTCATTTTCAAAATCCCCTCCATTTGTCAGTATTACTATACCAAATCTATTCAAAAATTCATCACCTAAAATCCCTTTTAGAATGCCGATTGAGTTTGATTCTTCAGCTGTGAAACGTGATCCAAACTTACAAACCAAAAGAAAGGCACTATAGCCCTGTGTGTTGTGCATTATTGCTTTTTGTAACTCATTGTAAACCAGTTTAATTTGATCAGCGGGATTTGTATATTCTGTGTCCATGGTTCCAGGGCAGTCAACTACTTGTATATTAAAACCCTTATATTCGCACACATCATAAGCAAACTTTCTTGTTACTGAGTTATGGCTGTAGCTAACTGTAAAATTACCCTTTTTCCCTAGAATTGAATTACCAGTTGCACTCTTTCCGTTTCCAGTTTTACCAATCAACAAAACATCTAAATCTGTCGAAAATTCCTGAAATGATGATCAATATGAAATAAAATACTTAAAAAAAACTTTAAAAAAAACACGTTTTTCTTGTAGACTAAAAAGTAGAAAATAAATTTTTCTTTTCTACTTCCTCGAGCTGTGCAGATTCTTGTGATGACTGACAAAAAACGTGGGTACGTTCACCATCAAATTTCCCGACCCATCTGCCCGACCCACGTTTTTTGTCAGTCATCACAAGAATCTGCACAGCTCGAGGAAGTAGAAAAGAAAAATTTATTTTCTACTTTTTAGTCTACAAGAAAAACGTGTTTTTTTAAAAGTTTTTTTTAAGTATTTTATTTTCTCCTTTTTAGTCCGTTGCTACACATGAAAAACGTGTTTTTTAAAAAAGTTTTTTATATAGTTTATTTTCTACTTTATCTAATGACTTGATTAAGTATGAATTGACTAAGTGTTTATAAATACACGGACTAAAAAAATCTTGAGCGACCAGGATTCGAACCTGGGTTGTCGCGAAGTACTAACCACTATACGATCACGGCCAGCGCGCTCACATCGATTGGGGCCGAAGTAACTGTGTCAACAAGCCTCCAGTCTTGTCGGTAACTTTAGAAATCATGTCCTCAATTTTATGGTCCTTTGGGCGTAATTAAATTAAGCTAATTACGGTCTCTAATTGCTAGTTTTTATGATTGCATCTGAAATTGTTAGGCGAAAGTAACCTGCATGCCAAATTTCAGATCTATAGAGCAATCAGAAGTGGGCTAATTTTCGATGTCAATTTTAACAACAAACACATCCACGCGAAGCTGAGTTAATAAAAACGTGTTAAAATACACAAGACTATTAAGATGAAAGATAATTTTTAAAAAAATATAAATGAACAGTATATTTGAGATCAAACTTTTCAGCCTTTTATTATAAAGTTCATAAAACTTATCCCATATTTGTAGATTTCATAGGAACTTGTAGATATTAAGTGTTAATTTAAGGTTCAGAGTTGGTTTAAATAATTTCACATTGATGTGTTTCAATAAACAATTTCAAATCTATATTATTTTAGCTTGCGTGCCGGCGCGTGTTGCTGTAATCTAGTAAAAAAAAAACACGCAACTTTATATAAGGGTTTCATCAATGGTGTTTATCAGTTTATAACTAGACGTGTTAGAACTAAGTAATTGAAATGTAAATGAGTTGGCAATGTATATATTGGGTCCTTAATAATGAAGTAGGATAGCCCTAGCGAACGCTTGGGAAGTCGCGTGGCGCTCTCGCGAGTCACCGGTTACTCTACTGCAGGGGCGCCTACTGCGACCTCTGGTTCCCTAGTAAATGGTGCTATTTTTTAACGACTGTATATGCCATACTTATCATGGGGAGGGGGCGGAAGAGACTGGATGCAGTTTGACAGTTGAGTCATGTAGTAACACAGACCTCCGGCGTAGGACGCCATATTAGCAGCCTCAGGTGCTAAGATAGCCACACACTACCGACGAGGCGTCTCTTTTTCAAATATTTAAATTTTGATTTTGGCAAAAATATTCTTTGGTGTGTACTTCATAACATGCTCGCACGCACACACACACACAAAGGCACATACACAGACATACTTTCGTATTTATATATGTAGATAATTTTGTTCTAAAGTTACTTACCTAATACCTCTCCTTTTCAGACTATAGATAAGTATTGATATAATGGGGACAAATTTGACGTTTGAAAACAGAAACTTACTTTATTAAGTAAGTATACTTACTTTATTAAGTATATCAATGGACTCTATTACCTGAAATACAAAAATGATCACATTTTAATTTTACGAGTTCTATCTTTGGTCGCAATGTTTATCTATATAACAATTTGCAGTAGGTTAGTTTTTGTAGCCTGCAACATAAATTTTGACCCACTGCTAATAGTTGTGTGGAGCCATATTTATAGTGGAACAATAACGTTAGTAAACAGATCGCGATTACGGCCATCACTTTAGTTAGTGTACTATTTGAAAGAATAAAGAAACATAAAAATCATTTATTTTGCAAGCCATTTGTGTCAAATTGTAGGTCATCCATAAATGACGTCACGCTTTTTGACGATTTTTACCTCCCCTCCTCCCCTCCGTCACACGTCGTACACGTCGTCACAAAAAGCCAGAGCCCCCACCTAAAATGACGTCACATCTCAGCCTACGACCCCCCTCAAAATTGCTGTTGAATTTTTCTTAAAACAGCGATTTGTTTCCAAAATCTTGTCAGAACTCTGTCAACATAGAGTATTTTGATCAATTCCTATTACGATTCATTAAAACCGTTTTCTAAAACGCGAAATAACGGCTAAAATTCGTTTTCTAACATTGCTTTTTATAGTGCAAAAAAGTGACGTCACACCATCTGACCCCCCTCCCCCTCATCACACACCGTCACAATATAACGGACCCCCCCTCCCCCCTACGTGTGTGACGTCATTTACAAATAAGAATTCAGAAGCAGGGGAGTACTTTTCTAATTCTATTTAAAAAAATAACACGATGTAGAATAGCTTATTATTCAATAGATTCCATAGGCAATGTATGTAATCAAATGATTTATTTGCTCACAGGCATAAACATAGACATGCACATCGATATAGGCATAGGCATTGGTATAATCGTAAACGTAGGTGTAATAGCAAACGTAAACGTGAATAAACACTTGAACGTATACGCAAACATGAACTTGACCGTACACGTAATATAAATTAGTGTACAATAAAAATGTTTATTTAAACTTACTCGTCTTTCTTGTGGCGTTGTTTCTATTTCACCTCTGCTAACCACCTAAGAGATATAATTTGAAAATGTGATGTTATTATCTCTACGTTCTTTTATGTTCAATATGAACATGAGTGATTTAGATAACAACCAATCCAAAACGCATTACTATAATAAAAATAGCTAGAATCTATTTGATTTATTGTAAAAAAAAATCTTTACGTCCAGGCACCACATTTAAAACCTTTTTTATGTTTAAGGGCATTCAATTAATCATATGAAGACCATAGGGGATAAACCACAGTTTTCTACTTTTGAGAAAACTAGATTTTTGTGCTTGACCTCCTTTGCTGTTTCATTGTGGCATCATTTTAAAATCCTAAATATTGAGGGGATCAAGGTGGTTATACGCTTTCATAGTATTATTCGTGATAGATATACACTACTATAACATGAATATGGCACTTACTCCAAAAAAGTAAAAAATGGACATGTGTGGTTTATTCCGTGTAGTCTTTATATGTTAATGGTCTTTAATTTATAGAAAAAATAGTTCAAATTTGAAACTAGTAGTTCTGATTTCCATTTTCCAACCTCAAGTTTGTTCACTCTAAAGGTAAATATCAAATAAGATAAGTTATTTAAATTTAAAGCCGTTTATTCTTTCATCCATTAATTCGTATGTTTTATTTGTACATTTGTTTATTTATTTGTTTCTATATCTAGTCACCTGCTCCGTGGATCCTTGTGCACCCATGCTGTACTTTCTTCGTAGGCCGTAAACTTGATGGTTTTGATACACTTAAAATGCTGGTTAAATTTAAAAAAATGCATGCACTAAAATATTGAATAATATAAAAAATTAGTTGCTTTATAACCACTTTAAAACAGTATTATGTGAGTTAAGTTTCCCTGTGATTTTGATATTTTTTTTTCACCCGATCAGATAACGGATGATGTGAGAGATATAAAAGACGAGTACAAATGCTGTTAGGAGATTTGTAAATCTCGTCCACTTACTGGCCTGTGACTTTTTAGATGGCATGTTGTTAAAAGTTTGCCAAAAAACAGCTGATTTGTCCGTGACAGTCAGCTTTGCATGTTATACAGGGATTGAATTTTTTTCAACACTAATGCTAGGAAATAAAATGAGTTTAGATTCGTATTTTTATTTCTTATTTTAGACACAGCAAAATTGTAGAAATGGTATTCCCTTTAATATTCTTTTGTTCTCGATTAGCCTATTAAATTCTTCGTTTAACGTTATAGAGGCCTATAACAATTGCTTCGAAATACAAATAGACAAATACCACATCCTGTTCTCATTGTTGGAATTTGAAAGTAAGAAATTAGTAAACTTACTCTTTTTGAAAGACGTAGGAGGGGGGGGGGGGTCGAAGATACAATGCAATCGGACAGTGACTGCCTTTGAGTTTGTTATTTGCTGCTTATAACACCTGCTCAACATAGAGGGAGTTATTACATACAGTAGTAACGACTGTTTAGCGATAATTGGAAACTAACATGTGTGTGGATTTTTTTATTTCTTTAAAAGGTCTGACTGCTTTATTGTCGGTTGGCCCTTTACAAACTAACATACAAATACATACACACACACATAAACACTCCTCTTTCTCTCTCTCTCTCTCTCTCTCTCTCTCTCTCTCTCTCTCTTTGACACATGTAACATAAGTATATTTAAGGAGGGGAAGTGTTAACTGACAGAGGGGTAATATCAAAGACTCTTTTTATCATGAAAACTTTTTAAAATATAAACCTAGAAATCAACTTTTAATAACGAAACCGCATGCAGAATAATTAAAACACCATCATCCCGTAAAATAACATGGCACATTGGCCTGGAAATACCGGCTTGTTCGAGCTTTGGCCGGCCAATGTAACAAACTGCTGTACTGTTACACGTGTTGATGTAACACGTCTAAGCAAAATTTCTAGTACATAGCGATCAACCGTATATAATTAAGTATGTCTATGCTACATATTTAAAAGCTTTAATTCAGAAACTAAAACACAATTTTGAATGTTACACTTTTTTGTTATGAAAATCATTTATAAAACAAAAGCATTGGGTGTGCTTAATTCAATTAAATGGAAAAGTAGTGAAATTCAAAATAAATTTAGAAAGTTTTTGATTACTCACAGCGTTATGGGTGATATTGTTATCTTTCAGATTGAAGAGTGACGCTAAATAGCATAAACATTGTTAACTGTATTCTGATAACACTAGTTGACAAACTCATTTTATAGCTGTTTCTTTATAATGCAGTTGCACTTAGTTACGTAAATAAACATTTACGTTCTGGTCCGTACAAACATTTATAGATCAGTGGTTGTGTAAGTAATGTATAAAACGGAAGTGAAATTATACCATAATGAGGAGTATATTGATTATATCGATCGCTTGTTTGGAGTAGAGACAAGTCATGATTGGTTTAGCAAGCCGTTGCCAATGGTGTACTTTGCGAATTCATTAGGAACAGTGGGCTTGCCTAGTCTTGTTCAAGCTCTTTTTGAGGGTGGGAAAATTTCAATATGTTTGATTTTCTAGAAAAGTAAAGAATGATATAATTGAAAACTAGATCAGGCGGTGGGTAAAATAAAAACATACACCGGGCTTCAAAAGCCGTAGTGAAAAAAATAATCATTCATGTGTAACATTTAAGATCGGCCTGTCTTAACACATACTGACAGCATTTTTCCTGCTATGTTTTTTGGCAACTAGATTTGAAATAAAATATGATTTGTGTTGATTATAGCAACTATAAGGCCACACCATTCCACGCAATTGTTTAGATTCATGCTCATGCTTGAACTATAAACTGTTCTTATGAACAAAGTTATTGCTAACCAAGCACTACATGTATTAAATAACAGCAATAAAAATATTGAAATATTTAATTAAAGAACAAGCTAAAACGCAACATATTCTGTGGACATAACCCATACGTTCCCTCTATGAATGTATGACAACATTTCTTTGTGATGAACGAAACAGCGCCAGTTATGCAATTCAAAATCTAAAGCGATATGTTTTAACCTGTATAAATTGCTTAACTGTAATGCAGTTAGATGTCTAGAATATTTGAAAACGATTTTTTTTAGTTTTCTACAAGACCCAACCAGTTTTTCTAACAATCTATGATTTAGGGATCTCGTATAAGCTTTTTCAGTAGCATTTGCATGATAATATGTACCACGTAAGAAATAGTGCACATTAATAAAAATTATGTTTGAAAGATACTTTTCATTATCGTCTTTCAATGTTTTCGAAAGGGTATGTTCAAAACATATTTTTTTTTGGATCTAAGTAATACAAGTTTTAAAAGTGAATAGCAATGTCAATGTGTGTGTGTATGTGTGTGTGTGTATGTGTGTGTGTGTGTGTGTCACAAACATGTATGTAATTATATTCAAAATGTTTATTTATTTTGTCCGAAGAAAAAAATGCAGGCATTAGCATTAGGTAATGATAAATCAATATAGTCTATTATTTAGTCTTGCAACACACGCTAAAGATGTTAGGCAGAAATAGACGCTGCAAAAAAAAAAAATAACCCTCGGGCGCTTAAGAATCTTCTTTAGACTTAGTGATCCATTGGGCTGATGAAGTAGAATTCATATCTTTCTTGATGTCGGCATATGAAAGGATGGTGTGGCCAGCACTATTTTCAGTCGCCTTTGTTTTCCCCAACTTAAGTCAGGTACCCATCAGAGCTGGGTTGACTCAGAGACGAATTACAGTCACAAGTTCGACCTGAGTCAAGAAATTGAGACCTTCGGCCTCAGAGGCGTAGCGACCCTTCCCGGCGCCCGGGGGCAAACGTTCAATTAGTCGCCCATCTCGGGCGCCCCCCCCCCCCCCAAACTTTCGATTTGCACCCCACCCCCTTAAACTATTTATAATGCAAAAATGCAGCTAAAATGACATTTTAATTTGTTTTCACAACCCATTTTGGTTAAGGTCGGCGCCCGGGGACATATGTACTTCCCTGCCCCCCATCGCTACGCCTCTGTTCGGCCTAGCAGCGAAACACTCTACCATTAGATCTACTCTACCATTACCGTACTCAACGTTATTAGTTATAAGTTGTATTTACAAATGCTTACATTGCAGGCTAATTGTTTATATCTAAATTAGATGCCGTCGGAAGGAATAAGTGAAACAAGAAATTTTTAAACTCAAGTTTCAACATGCTAGTCGCATACAAGTTTAAAAACTGCACAGAACAAGTTAAAATTCGAAGAGACGTGTCTGAACCACATTTGCAAAGTCTGAAGCATTAGTGCAGTTCTTTAAATGTAAAAAAAAAGTCCGAGTGCATACGTGATGGCAACGCTTGGCAACGTATAAACGTTATGCCAACAACACTCAGTTTTGTTGGAACATGTTATTATAACAGTTTGTTACGCCTGGGAATGTTGGGTTTAATAATTGAACAGAATTGGTACAGCACAGTGATATTTTTTGCATCTCTCAAGACACTCTTTGTAAAAAAAAAAAAAGGCGAGAACTAGCAGTAGAGCTCTAGAGTGCTAAACTGAAAGTCTCGTTTTCGAATCCGGGTTCTAGTCAGTAGAACGCCTTCAATTCTACTCAGTGGCGTAGCGAGGTCGGGTGTCACCCGGTGCGGCACTTAATGGTGTCACCCCCCCCCCCCCCCCAGAGGCTTAGCGACTCTTCCGGATGGAGCGGCTTTAAATTTAAATCTCTAATCTTATTTGATATTTACTTTTAAAGTGAACAAAGCTATTGAGGATGAAAAATGGAAATCAGAACTACTAGTTTCAAATTTGAACTTTTTTTTTTCTATAAATTAAAGACTATTATGTATTAACTTACATTTTTAATATATAATTTTACAATGTATATTTTGAAATACAAACATTTAAAAAAATAAAAGACTAAAAGTGCTGAGCTTGTTACAACAAATAATATAATAATAATAAATATATAATAGCCGTGCGCATTTGTCTTAGCATGTCAACACTTTCGCGGTTCATAACAAAATACTAGAGCGATGTTCATTGAACCCGACACTCCAGTTCTATGGGTGATTAAAATTGCAGTCTAAGCGTTTTTAAATTGCTGACAACGAACAAGCACAAAACTTTGACCTTGTTACAGATGAATGCTTTTTTTCCCACCGCGTCCTCTCCAAGAGTGTGAACGCAATTATTTATGCGATCGCTCGAACTTGTTTTATAAAAATTATTTTTCTGGAAAAATTATTCAAATTTTCCCCCTCGTTAGCTACCAAATTAAGACACGACAAACAAAAGACTCTACAAGTATACGAGGAGTATGGCCACATGTTTGAAAACATACTAAAACTAGACTGTACTTGACTGTATGACATTGAGATTAGATTAGATTTTTTTTATGTCTATATTAGTTCATCAAAAGCATAACTTTATTTTTTTTTTCATTCATTACTTTTATTCGTAGCTTAAAACATAACACACACACACACAAATTGCGGGAGCGAACGCACGAACACACACACACACATACTCAACATAAGAAAAGATAAACAGTTAAATAATAGAAGTAATAATGTTAAGTTGACAGTAACTGTTGTATTATTGTAAATGAATCTTTAGATCTTTTCTAATGCAATTTATTAACAACTGTTAATTTAGCACACACGACGTGCTGTAGTTGAAAAAAGTTCAAAGGAAAATTTTGGGTCGTTTTACCAATGTCACCCTGATCAAAACTTCGGTCTACTTTTTTTCTACAAACTCCATGCCCTGTCAATGGTATTTAGAACATGAATATCGGTAATATAATAGTAATAAGCTCCAGCTTGGGCTTGAGCCAAACTATTTATTTACGTTACTAATAGCAACTCTCCAGTGTAAAAGAAATGAAAATAAAACGAGTTCCAGAATTGTGAGAAGGTGTTTTTATGGTGGCTCTTTGCATTAGATTCCTTTGGTACAACATTTAAAGCTGTGAGTAACCCAAATAGTTTTTCTATTGTTATTTAGCTGGATGTGTGTGTGTTTGCGTGTGGGTGCGTTTGTGTTAAGATATAGCCGTTGATTTATTTTTAATTTGCAAATTTCTATTGTTTGTCTCAGCTTTGAGTTTTGGTTTTAACTTCTGTTTGTAATATTTACATTCAATAAAGTTTTAACTTATGTTTAGGTTCCACTTATTATTACACATTGAGATTGATAAATTACTCAGGGAATTTTAATAATATATTCGTAATTTATACATAGTCTTAAGATTCAGCAGCTTTTTTCACAACTTTATGCTTTTAATTCTGTAAATGTGCGTCTAACGCTGCTTTATAAATATGTTAAAATCAATTGCTTACAAAGTTCCAGAATCAAAACAGAATAATTCTGAAGAGTAGCATGAATGATGACAAATAATTTCTAAAACATGTCAATCTTGTAATACTGCGTCAAAACAAAAGTCAATGTGTAAAATGACCACTTTTTAAATTATATATAACGATGCGATAAAACATATTTAATAATTCCTGGATAGTAGAAAAAAATGTACGAAACGTATAATTGTGGCATAGCGCCGATTGTATTTCATTTTCTTAAAGATTGAATATAAACATTCATTGACAGTGTAAAATATGGCACTATCACAAGAGAATAGCGTAGCGTTACGCTTCGGACACCTGGGCTGTCGCCGAGTCATTTTCTACCTCACTATTACGGCGGGTGATTAACGTTCACTCAAGGCTTTTATACAGCAGAAAAATAGTGCTGATATTTTTTACATATAAATAACTCAATTTTAGAAATCAAGGTAACGCGTTGATGAAAATCTTATACAAATTTGAGTCAAAAATTTGGCGTGAAGGATTAGATTTGAGTCCGTGCACCTCACATCGACAACTGAAAGTGGTCAGTTCAGGCTTTGGAATGACTCTTCATTTATTTATGTATCAGACAAAAAAAATATTGTATTTAATTAAATTAAATTAACAAGTACACTTAAGTTAAAAGGCACTTTGCGATGTATTCCATAATAAATTTAATAATGAATTTGAATAAAAATGACTCAAATTTTTTTTTGGATATCATAACGAGTATCCTTCAATCTCCTCCTTTCGTTGATTGCATTGCAGTAACACTTGAAGGGAAAACTAGTGATAATTTTTGTTGAGGAGGGCTTGTATGAATGTAAATAAACAAAAACTATTTGGTGTTTTTATTTTCAGCGGCAAAATGCTTCACTGTCTTCACCAAGATCAAGATCAAATCCTAGATGTGATTTTAATCGGTAAAACAGGAAGTGGGAAAAGTTCCACCGGAAATTCGATTTTAAGAGAGGGTAAAACATTTAAAACAAGCTACAATACTATTTCAGCAACAAAAATACCTCAGTACGAATGGAGCCAATTTGAGGGGAGAAAACTCCAAGTAGTTGACTCCCCAGGTGTTATTGATACATGCCAGGGCGAAATAGGGGGGATAACCTTGGTCAAAACTGCTTTACAAAACGCTATGTTGGCTAATCCAAAAGGCTACCACGCGTTTTTGGTTGTTTTAAAGTTTGCCACCCGCTTTACAGGAGAGGAGCAGAAAACTGTTGAAATATTGAAAGGAATTTTAGGGAAAGATTTTCTGAAGGAGTATGGTATTATTGTCATGACGAACGGAGACACGTTCGAACACCACTGTCAGATCGATAAGAAGTTAAACCTTCAAACATTTTGTGCCGACGAGAAAGGTCCCTTTAAACAGATATTAGAAGAATGTAACAACAGAATTGTTGTCTTTGATAATTTAACCAAGGACGAAGCTGTAAAGCAAAAGCAGGTGAAACAGCTAGTTGATATGATCGACAAGCTCGGAAACGGCGGTAAAAGATACACCAACGAGAACTTCAAAAGAGCTGATGAATTCTATCAGCTTTTTCTAGCTGAATCTAGCACACCTATGGTTAGCAAATACGTTTTGGAACAACATAGTCTAATTATGAGTGACATAAAGAACGCTGATTTATTGAAAAACGATCAAGAAAAAATCAACGTACTAACAAATTTATTGCCAAAAATTAGTAATATAATTGAAGTAATTATCAATAAAGACAAAGGTACAGGAATGTTAAAAGATTTTATCGAAAATGTTCAAAATACACAGCAGCTGATTATTGACAGAATACAATTCCTTTCGATTATACTAAAGCAACGAGAGGAAATAAAACAAAAGAACGAAGAATTTAAACTCGAAATACAAAAACTAAAAGAGAAAAAGGAATCAAATATCATAAGTGAAGAGGAATTTAAAAAGAGCAACAGTAATCTTGAAACTAAAAAGCAAAAATTTGAGTTAGGAGAAAAGGAAAAAGAACAAAAATATTCTGAAAAAGCCAAAATATTGGCAGAGTCAATGCGAAAAATTGAAGATAAACGAAGAAAACTGAAGGAAGATGCAAATGATGACTTTTTCTTAAAAATGAAAAATGTAATTAAAAAGTGGGGGACATTTATAATAGACAAAGCAATAGATGGAGTGAAATATGTAGGGGATATGCTAAAGCAAAAAATAAATGAACTGCTTGCATAATATAGCTGAATACGCAGATGAAAATGAATGGCATCCCTCCCTCCCCCAACAATAACTGTGTTATACATGTTAATACTATTGTTGCATGCTTAAAGCAAAACTATAATTAACATTAATTCAATTTTATAAGCTGTTGAGCTTAGAAATTATAGGAACGAAATTTTTAACAGCTCTTACGTGATAAAATCTTAGTCTTAGAATAGTTCCAGAATTTGCCATGGATTTTTAATTAGTTAAAGCAATGATCTTAATTTTGCCAGTTAGAAATCAGGTGAACAGAATTCACTATCCAATTTATATTATGATGTATTTTTTTATAATAACCCATGCATGGAAAAAAATTAAAATGTAATAAATATGAATTTAGCGTTTATATTTGCGTTCAAGTTTGTGTTGACGTTTGCGTTTATGTTTGCATTTATGTTTCGATTTTCAAAACGTCCATATTTACATATAGAATTTTAATTAAACATTATTATTTTATTAAACATCCTATTGTACAAGACCCGGACATCACAGTGTATATCCTTCTTACTTAGTAAACAAGTCACGGCCCTATAAAAATTTAGTTTATCCAAAAGTTCAATGCAGGGCCATGGCCGGTACGGCTAGTCTGTAAAGTTAAAATGGACTTAGTTAATCTGTAGCAGAATTATTTATAGCAGAATAGTGTGAATGTTTGTGCAAAATTCTTATGGTTTTTCATTTTTGTACTTAAACTGAATTGATGCCCCAACATCTATGATCGAAAAAAATATAGCGCCGGCTTTGTTAATATTTGAATGACTCCGTTTTAGAAAACTCTTCTAGTACAGCTAAAAAGTACCAAAAGGTATAAAGATAATTTATTCTGCACTGTTTTGATTTGCATATAGACATTGGTTCTTGTGTAAGCCTGCTTGTGACAAAATGTGTCGTTCTACAGACACAGTTGTCGAGTTAACCCTTCCAACCCGCGATACTACTGTGTCGACAGTCCATACTTAAATGCGGAAATAAAAATAAATGTGTAATACTATTTACTCGTGTTAAGTTAATGCAATGGCTCCACCAAAAACCACATTTTTTCCTTGTGTTTGTCAATTGCCTGATTGTTGTTTTTTCCCCGGCAAACTGAAAAGGTTTAACTATCAGATACTGTTTTTTTTTATTATGACCACAAACACAATCATTTATACGACTAGGGGTCATCCATAAATGACGTCACGCTTTTTTGGACGATTTTTACCCCCCATCTCCCCTCCGTCACACGTCGTCACAAAAAGCCAGACCCCCCCCCCTAAAATGACGTCACACCTCAACCTACAACCCCCCTCAAAATTGCAGTTGAATTTTTTTAAACATCGATATTTTTCTAAAATCTTGTCTAAACTATTACAATTTATTAAAACAGTTATCTAAAAATTGAAATAACGTCTAAAATTCGTTTTCTAACATTGCTTTTTTATAATGCAAAAGTGTGGCGTCGCAACATCTGAACCCTCCCCCCTCCCCCTCATCACACATCGTCACAAAATTACGGACCTCCCCTCCCCCCTACGAGTGTGACGTCATTTATGGATGACCCCTAGAGTGCTTTTTTAGAACTTGAAATTTAAAATCTTCCAAACAAAACGTTTGTATTAACGAAGTAGTGTGATTTTGTCAGCATTATAGAACGTTTAAAACAAGATTTGCGTATAAAGCCTAACATTACATCGAACAGTGACATAAAACAGAAACTGATATTTCACTTTTATGTTCCGATCAATTCCTCTATTTTATTGTCATCAAAAAAATTTTCATTACCTAGAATGATTTCGACGCGATTTTCTATCGATCAGTTTAAGCAATATAATAGTGGTAAGAATTGCAAACCTTAAATGAAAAGTAACTGTGCACTTTTAATGCAAGTTGACTCAGGGCATAGGTAAAGAAGTCAAAAGTTACCACAGTCCATACAAGTGATACAATTTTAAATAACTGAAAAGTATTAGTATTAATGCCGTGTTTTATATTAGCAATAGCTAAAGCCATCTTTTACTTGTATAATGAAACGAAAAGCAACGTTCCTAATGATGACAAAAAAAAATTCTTTGGTACTACAGATACATTTAAACACAATGCAAAATTAACTACAACATTAAAAATAATCTGAGAAAGATCTCCCCTAAACTTTCTCGAATATTCTTATATAACACTGCGGGGGATGGCAACTCGGGATATAGACATGATTTTTATCCATCTTTAATTACTTAAACTTTTTAAAATAGAATGGAATCTCGTAGAAAAAAAAATTGCCAAACAAAGATGTATAAATTAGTGCGGAATAATATTAGTACTTTATACATTCACATTAGTTTTTCGAGAAATCGAAAATAGCGTAAATTACTATTTCCGGTCAACGGAAATTACTCAAGATTTGATAGAGGGCAGAGAATTAGATTTTTTACTTCTATATGAAATGTCATTTATCTATAAGAAATACTACTCAAGCTAAAGGCTTTTGAAAAATTAAAAGTAGAATAAGTTCCACTGCCGGTTATCGGAAATCGCTCAAAAATGGATACATATCTACGATTTTGATAAAATACTTATATTTGAAATTGTATCAACCTAGCTTTAACGGTTACTCAAGTTATCGTGTTTAAAGGCACACATACACCGATACACACACAGACAACGGAAAAAACTGCAAAACTATTTTTTTTTTACTCAGGAGGTGTAAAACGTCGAGATTTGTAAAAATCTCAACTTTTTTGCACGATTACGATACTTTCTATATAGATCTACTTCGTATACGAGAAAGTAATAACGCGGGAGGAAATAAGTAGTAAAGTACCCCTTCCAACCTGACGTCTATGGGGCAAACGAAGTAGAGTTCACTTGTTTCTATCAACTCGGCATATGAAGGGATATGAACCTAACGTGAGTTAGGTTCCCATCAGAGCTGGTTGGACAGCAAGTGAACAGCAAACAAAGTGTGTATAATAGAGCGGAACATTAATAATAAAAATGCATATTCTTTATTTAAGAAATCTGAAATAGCATAAAGTCAACGGAAATAAATCAAAATTTGACAAAAAAATATATAATTAGATCTTTTATTTATATGTGAAATTTCACCTATCTAACAGAAATAGTACTCAAGTATAGGCTTTTAAAAACCAAAAGCAGAATAAATTCCACTTCCGGTTATCGAAAATCGCTGAAATGTTTTTAAAGTACAAAAAATGTGATGTAATACTTACATATGCACTTTATCAAGCTAACTGTATAGGTATTTAGGTTATCGTGTTCAAACACACACACACAGACACACACAAACAAACACAAACATACCCGAAAGAACAAACGAACGAACGAACGAACAAACGAACGAACAAACGAACGAACGAACGAACGAACGAACGAACGAACGAACGAACGAACGAACGAACGAACGAACGAACGAACGAACGAACGAACGAACGAACGAACGAACGAACGAACGAACGAACGAACGAACGAACGAACGAACGAACGAACGAACGAACGAACGAACGAACGAACGAACGAACGAACGAACGAACGAACGAACGAACGAACGAACGAACGAACGAACAAACGAACTAACGAACGAACGAACGAACGAACGAACGCACGCACGCACGCACGCACGCACGAACGGACGGACAGACGGGACGGACGGACAGACGAAAGAAAGGTCAAATTACATTTACCATCTGGGCGCTGGCGGTTTTACTATTTTATGGGTGACTATAGAAGTAACGCTGACTTGCTCTGCGGTGCGCCCAATTAATTGATACCAAATGCTAAGATAGTCGTTCCGGAAATATGGGCGTAAAACCGTATATTGAGAAAATTCGTACCCAACTGGGGTGCAGACCTTAAGAATACAAAAAATTTCAGAGAATTTCATAGCAGGGACGCCGCTGGTTCCATTTCGACAACTATTATTGTTGCCTGTCGTGTCACTAGTGTGTAGACTTTTTTAAACGAACGTAGGCGCCATAATGCTCGCAGTGGAGCTCTTGGCGCTTCGGGTCGCGCAATCGGGTTGGCGCTGGTTGTTGTGTTTCATGAAGTTTTAACGCTGAATATAGTAGTACCCCTTAGCCGCTATGCATGACGCCTGATTAACGGATGCTAAGTGCTAACATAGCCGCTCTGGAATTCTGGGCGCCCAATCATGTATCGACGAACATCGCATCCTGCTGGGCGCCGTCCATAATAAATTTTAATTGTTTTGTTCACAGAAATCTTTCATGGCACTCGGATGAACGGTGTCGAACTGCATCCGACTTTTATTTTTCTGTATGCCGTACATAGAGAAAAATCGCACCTTCCCTTGCGAAATTAGAAAAAAGTTTTTTTTTTTGCAGAACCCTTCCCTCTAGTGTTCTAATCAACTCCCCAAAGCTTAATGAAGATCGGATGCACGGTGTAAACCGCAATCGACTTTTTAATATACCCTATATAGAGAAGAATCTAATCGCACATTGTCGGGGCGCCACATCTGCGAAATATAAAACCCAAAGATTCATGGCGATGTAACGAGAGGTGTAATAATGCATAAACGACAAACAAAAAGACAGAGAGACAGACAGACATTGCTTTATATAAATATCATGTATTTTGATCAGTGTCGACTTGAAAAGAACTTTGGTACAATTTTTTTTATATTACACGGCGGGTTTGTTGCATTCAATAATCTATAATTCACTTAATCTAGAATCGCAAGTTTGCGCATGAACAACCATGTTTATTTTCGTAACTAATAACAACTGCCCTGCGCAAAAAATATATTATAAAATCTTGAGTTCACTATGCGTTTTCAACACTCAGCAAACAGTTTGTAAGCTGCCTGTCTTAACTCTTCTGACTGAGATCTTTCCATCAAATACTTCAAAGCTGTGAGTACATGGTTCTGGGTTGTTTTTTTTAATTACGGCATTTTTTCTTAAATGTTTTTCTTTCTCTCTTTCTCTCTTTCTTTTTTTAATCCTCCTTTATTCCACTCTCTGCGTCTCTCACATACAAATAAAAGATGATTTCGATTTCATATACGTAATTTTCATTATGTTAAATAGTTTATTGTAAATATATCATTACTTTTATTTTAAATTAAAACTGTCAAGTATCAAATATTTTTATTTTCTTGTTCTTAAGAAATAAAATGTAATCGTATTTCTCATTGAAGAAAAATGAACATCATTTTTAATTTTCCTCAAAACCGAATGTGTTTTTTTCCAAATATATATATATATATATATATATATATATATATATATATATATATATATATATATATATATATATATATATATATATATATATATTTCAAAATGTATACGTTTCATAATTTAAGTTTTTAAAACATTACAGCATTATTTCCGAGCTTCTACATTGGAAAACAGTTCGGTTAATTACACTGTTTATCATCTACTCTATACATAATGGGTGCAAACTCAAGCACTGACCAGGTAAGATATATACATTACTAGGCTTAATACGACTCCAAACGCAATGATTATCTAATAGATTGATACAGAATATTCAATAATTAGTTCTGTTATGCTGCGTTGAGCAAAATATATTTTGTCTCCTTTTATACTTTCTCGTATATACGAAGTATAGAGAAAATCTTGTAATCGTGCAAAAAAAAATCGAGATTTTTGCAAATCTCGACGTTTTAGGGCTCCCTGATTCGGAAAAACATAGTTTTGCAATCTTGTCCGTATGTCTCTGTGTATGTGTGTCTGTGTGTCTGTGTGTGTGTGTGTGTAAACACGATAACTTGAGTACCTTTACAGCTAGGTTGATGAAATTTCATATATAAGTATTATATCAAAATCGTAGATACGTATCAACTTTTAAGCGATTTCCGATAACCGGAAGTGATAGTTTTCCTACTTTGAATTGCTCAAAAGGCATATAGCTTGAGTACTATTTCACATAGATAAATGAAATTTCACATGCAATTACAAGATCTAATTCTCTACATTCTTTTAAATTTTGAGTAATTTCCGTTGACCGAAAGTAGTAATTTACGCTATTTCCGATTTAAAAAAAAACTAATGTAAATTTATAAAGTACTAATAATATTGCACACTAGTATGCACATTTTATTTGGCGTTCACTTGGTGTGCAATTATTATTTTTTACAAGATTTTATTCTATTTTAAAGAGTTTAAGTATTTAAAATGTATTAAAAATCATGTTTATATCCCGAGTTCCCATCCCCTGTTGGTTTATATAAGAATATTCGAGAAACATATATTATCAGAGTAAGTAAACACTATATAACGGTATCTTTAAAAAGGTAGTATAACGCAGTGAGAGGGGGTACAATTTTTTAAATTTTAATACTTAATGGAAGAGAAATTATTAAAATAAAGGGAAACTTAAAACGAGAAATTTGATTTTAAATTTTCAGTAAACTTTTAGAATTGTAGTTAAATATTCATTTTGAAGACTATTATTTAAATTAACTTTTATCCATTTGAAGTAAAGCTCACTTTAACACATATACAAATGAGTGTGTATTGTGGTTAGGTTAATTGTAATGTCAACTAATGTCTACAAGCCGATGTACACTCGCGGTCAGCTTTCCGCCCTCGGCTAAATAGTTTAGCCCTAACATTAATTGTCTATTGAGTTGAGCTCGTAGTTTATGGCTCTGCAGATAATCCGCTACTGATTTAACTTGAAGAACACTTTGCCAGCATATATATCTAACTCAGTTTTACTGGAGAATTAAATTATATTCTTTTTAAAGAGCTATCTACGCTAGCGACGCGGTGGACCATTACATTAATTAACGACTAAACTGAACCAGGGGTCCCGACTTGATCCTCTGGGGTACTGTAACTGGTGGCTCAAGAGAGCGCATCGCCCCTGAGCGGTCGGCGAGGTGTGTTCTTCCTTACTATTTAAGTGGGTGATTAATGCAAATTCAAGGCTTTCAGACAGAAATCCCATGGGCTTCCGGGTGGTAGCTTGGAAAAACCCGGGCCCCAAACAACTACGATCAAAATAATATATCTTCCGCTTTGTTTACATTTAAAAACTCAGTTTTAAAAAAAAAAGTTCTTTTATCTAAAGTGTTCACGAAACCTTAAAAAATATTTCGCCTTTCTGGTGTTTCATTTGATAGCAGAAACGTGTAACGCCATTTGTTAGTTATTAATATTATTATACAGTATGGTAAACTTAAAATCCTAGCTCTTTAATTTATTGAATTATATGTAATCGATGATCCATACATTTTTCCCTGTTCTCTGATCCGATATATAGTGACTATTACAAAATTGTCTTATTACTTTGTTTCAGGGATCATCAAATAGACTTGATATTTTATTAATAGGAAAAACTGGAAATGGAAAAAGTACTACTGGTAACAGTATACTAGATAAACATCCTGGACCTTTTAAACAAAGTTATAATAGTAATTCAGAAACTCAAAAAACAGCTTATGACTCTTGCTCATTTATGAATTACGAAATACAAGTGGTTGACTGCCCCGGTGTTATGGATACTGAAAAGACCACAACAGGTGGAATAAACTTAGTACACGAAGCATTAAAGAAAGCAATGATAACCAACCCTATTGGTTATCATGCCTTTATTGTTGTAGTGAAATTTGCAACCCGTTTTACAGCCGAAGATAGCTGCGCGATCGGTATGTTGAAAGGGATTTTAGGATATGATTTCCTAAAAAATTATGGTATAATTGTAATGACGAATGGCGATACCTTTGAGCACGCATGTGAGGAAGATGATACATTAAATCTTAGCACCTTTTGTAAGAGCCAAAATGGTAATTTTCAAGAACTTCTTCAAGAATGCAACAGTAGAATTGTTGTGTTCAATAACCAAACAAAAAACGAAGATACAAAGAACGAACAGAGAAAACAATTGCTTGAACTAATTTTAAGTTTGAATAATAATGGAAAAAGATACACAAATAGCCAATTTGAAAGCGCACAAAAGGAATACGCCAAGCTAATGGGCAGTGAAACTTCAGTTGTTGACAAAGAAGGTATAATTGAGCAGCGTTGTATTTTAGACAATATTAGGAAAAGCGTAAATATACTAGATCAAATGGCAAAAAATAAAATTCTTCAAGACACATTAAAAAGGGTTGATCTCTTGCAAAACAGAATAGCCAGGGGTGACAAAGGAGGAACATTGGAACCTTTGCAAAAACATTTAACCAAAACACGTAATCTTGTTTGTACGCTAATTAGTAGCTCTGGATTAAATGAGGAAGACACCAAAGATCTAGAGGTCATTGAGACAGAATTTAAAGAACTTAAAAAGAAGTTGGACACAAGTTTTTTCAAATCTATCTCATATTATATCCAGAAATGGTTTCCTTTTAAACTTAAGTAGATTATATTGATGCCCAGATTCGGTCTCACAGTGGGACAAGTTTATTCAAATAAACACTTTAACTATATTCTATAAATCAACTTTATGGCTGCTATTATTATTAGCTGATATCGGCTGTCAATTAACTTGATATATCCATAGAAAGTATTTGGTTGGGACTTTTTTATTAAAGAAAATGTGTTATTTTCATTCCTTTTAAATAGTGTTTTCCATTACTTGCTAACACTTTCTATAAGTAAAAGTTATTGTAGAAGTAGTGATTTAAAAGAATTGTGGTGCCTGTATCAGCTATCAAAATATTAAAGCTTATGTTAAGTCTAAAACACTTACATTGTGTTTGATACTTAAGATTTTTGCAAAAGTACAGTGCTACAGTTACGTTACGTCACGAGGTATGTATACAAGAATATCGATTTTAAAAAATATTATGTTATGTTTGTATGCTGTTCTATTGTGATGATTCAAGTTATTCAAAATTTTAAGATCGACTGGTGAAGCAAACTGTCCATCTTCTAATGATACACACAACATTTTACATTTCTCCGGGTGTTTATTAAATCTACATGTTACTATTTTTAAAACTATAAATAAAAATGGATTTAAAAACCATTCATGCAGTTCGAAAAAAGTATAATCGATTTATATTTTAATATTTTTAAATGACTTATATTTATGAATTCAATTTGTTTTCTTTTTCTTTTTGATAGCTAGTATGCTTATACAATAGAGGGACAGTGTGGACAAGTGTAGAGTGTTCAACTGCTAACGCAATTTTTTTTATTTCGGATAAGGGGGCTCTAGTTAGTACGACTTCTCCGTCTGCACCCAACACTGCTAGATATCTGCCTCAAATCGGGGAAAGTTTAGGGCAGGTGGGTATAGTGCTTACGACACTATCCTCTCGTATATTGAGCAGTGTTTCTTCCAGACTTTTTTCTCAGGGGGGGGAGGACGGGACTATTAAAAGCATATGTTTTCTATATAAATTCCATCACGTTCGGGGGAGGGGGGAGGCTCAATATATATATATATATATATATATATATATATATATATATATATATATATATATATATATATATATATATATATATATATATATATATATATATATATATATATATATATTGATTGTTTAAATTTCAAATTCTACTGTTGTTTTATAATTTTGTTACAAGAAAAATTATTAGATGTATTTTGCTTATACAGCAATCACTTAAATGATTTTAATTTTTTTTTAACATTGTTTTAATTGTAGAAGTGCGTTTTATATTATACTTTTAAAATACTTTTAAATTTAATAAATACAATCTTTTATTTCATATTCAACGCACACATAAAAGCACATAAAACCCACTCACGCACGCGCATACATACAAAATTATTGCGCGCTGTTATATAGCTGAATGGCAAGGTGGGGGGGGGGGAGGGTTAGACCACTCCTCATACAGTCATCCCCCATAACAAAAGTTGTCTCCTGTTTTTATAGCTATTGGCAACAGCTCGCTCGTGTCTAAATTTGCTCTGATCTTGTTTTGATTGCTTGAACTAAATGCATAACATTTTTTATTTCCGTACACTCATTTGTTAATGATAATCAAAAGTGAATCAGCAGACAAACAGACAGACAGAGAGGCAGGCAGGCAGATACGCACACATACATATTCATACATACTTCACAACCACACTACATAAGTTTTGTATTAACTGTATAATTTAGCAAATAAAATTCATTTTATATAAAAAAATTTTAGTATAGTTACTTCATTGAATTTGAATGTGAGAATTTATATTTTTGATGTTCTGAGGTCTACATAATATATGACATCGTTCTCTTCTCGATATATTTGAGTGCATCAATTGTATTTTTTTATTTTTGAAAATGAATCAATAAAATTCTTAATAACTAACGAACACGTTTATTTCAATTTCCTTCAATCACGGTTTCATTTACTTGAATTTGTAACGTTTATCTCTTTCCCGAAAATTAACATCTTTAATTTTAACATTTCTACAATTAAAAGATAATAAATTTTAAAACAAAATCCAACTCTATTGTGAATGTGAATGTGAATGTGAATGTGAATGTGAATGTGAATGTGAATGTGAATGTGAATGTGAATGTGAATGTGAATGTGAATGTGAATGTGAATGTGAATGTGAATGTGAATGTGAATGTGAATGTGAATGTGAATGTGAATGTGAATGTGAATGTGAATGTGAATGTGAATGTGAATGTGAATGTGAATGTGAATGTGAATGTGAATGTGAATGTGAATGTGAATGTGAATGTGAATGTGAATGTGAATGTGAATGTGAATGTGAATGTGAATGTGAATGTGAATGTGAATGTGAATGTGAATGTGTATGGGAATGGGAATGGGAAAGTGAATGGGAATGGTAATGGGAATGGGAATGGGAATGGGAACGGGAACGGGAACGTGAATATGAACGTGAACGTGAACGTGAACGTGAAAGGGAACATATTTTAAATGAATATAGAAGCTAGTAGCGCGTATTATCAGTAGCATAGAGAAATTAGAAAAAAGTCTGACAGGAATCCTGGCAGGCACACAGACAGACAGAGAGACAGAGAGACAGACAGAGAGACAGAGAGACCGAGAGACAGAGAGACAGAGAGACAGAGAGACAGAGAGACAGAGAGACAGAGAGACAGAGAGACAGAGAGACAGAGAGACAGAGAGACAGAGAGACAGAGAGACAGAGAGACAGAGAGACAGAGAGACAGAGAGACAGAGAGACAGAGAGACAGAGAGACAGAGAGAATGAGAGAGAGAGAGACAGAGAGACAGAGAGACAGAGAGACAGACAGACAGACAGACAGACAGACAGACAGACAGACAGACAGACAGACAGACAGACAGACAGACAGACAGACAGACAGACAGACAGACAGACAGACAGACAGACAGACAGACAGACAGACAGACAGACAGACAGACAGAGAGACAGAGAGACAGAGAGACAGAGAGACAGAGAGACAGAGAGACAGACAGACAGACAGAGAGACAGAGAGACAGAGAGACAGAGAGACAGAGAGACAGAGAGACAGAGAGACAGAGAGACAGAGAGACAGAGAGACAGACAGACAGACAGACAGACAGACAGACAGACAGACAGACAGACAGACAGACAGACAGACAGACAGACAGACAGACAGACAGACAGACAGACAGACAGACAGACAGACAGACAGACAGACAGACAGACAGACAGACAGACAGACAGACAGACAGACAGACAGACAGACAGACAGACAGACAGACAGACAGACAGACAGACAGACAGACAGACAGACAGACAGACAGACAGACAGACAGACAGACAGACAGACAGACAGACAGACAGACAGACAGACAGACAGACAGACAGACAGACAGACAGACAGACAGACAGACAGACAGACAGACAGACAGACAGACAGACAGACAGACAGACAGACAGACAGACAGACAGACAGACAGACAGACAGACAGACAGACAGACAGACAGACAGACAGACAGACAGACAGACAGACAGACAGACAGACAGACAGACAGACAGACAGACAGACAGACAGACAGACAGACAGACAGACAGACAGACAGACAGACAGACAGACAGACAGACAGACAGACAGACAGACAGACAGACAGACAGACAGACAGACAGACAGACAGACAGACAGACAGACGGGAGTAAGTGGTTAGCACGTTGCTTTTATTTTCCCTAACTTAAGTACCCACCAAAGCTGGGTGAACGCAGGGGCGTTCTACTAACGTAGACCCGGATTCGAACTCGAGTCTTTTGGGTCAGGTAGTTAATATTCTAATTTTTAAAAGACGTGTCGTCTACACAATCAAGAATATTAACATAAGATAAAACAAAACAAGACATAATATACAGTTCGTTACGTCATTGAACTTGCAATACTAGAATTATAAGATTGCCATAGTAATTATTTAAACAGGACAAGAGCAATGTATCGAAAATGAGTTTTAGATTCAGATTGTTTTTTTACACGACATGCAAGTGTGATCTTGTACCAACGAACGAATGAACTAGTTGTTAATCTATTTCATGTCAAGAATTTATTTTTGAGTCATGATGCTGCATGATTAGTGAAAGAAGCCAACTCATTTTTTTTACTTCTTTTTACGAATAAATGCACGTTGATTATACTATAAAATGGGACACCATAGTATATGTGCAACCGCTTGATCTAATACGATTTTCAGGGCAGTGAATACTTTGTCGGAAATCAATCCAACTTAAAATTTACAGCAAACTTTTCTCAGTCACTTTTTTAAACAATTTACAGACAATGGTATATACTACAACTAGCGTGCCCGTCCCCTTCTTATCCATATTCTATCAAGCTCTCTAAAACGAATGTATGCGCTACTGGTATGATCGGGACGCTAACACGTCTGATTCAATTTAGTGAAAGCCCCATCTTATTCATAGCCTTTCGCACTGTTTAAAATGTACGTAGGCACCATAGCGCCCATGGGATAGCTCGGGGCGCCAAATTGCACCCTGCACTACTTTCATTTTTATATACCGTATATATAAAAATCGTACCCTCCCGGGGCGCCGTCCTTAAGAAATTGAAAAAGATTTTTTTACAGATACCTTCCCTGGAGTGTCTTAACCAACTCCGCAAAGTTTGATGGCGATCGGATAAACGGAGTCAAACAGCAATCGACTTTTATTTTTATATACCGTATATAGAGAATCAAAAATAATCGCGCCGTATCGGGTCGCCACCCCTGCAAATTTTAAGATTTATTATTCGCTGAAACCTCCCCAGGAGTATTCTCAACAACTTTCCAAAGTTTCATGACAATCGGATGAAAGGAGTATTAATGCATAAAAGACAGACAAACAAACAAACAAATATATATATATATATATATATATATATATATATATATATATATATATATATATATATATATATATATATATATATATATATCCTAATATATAATTCCCC